TAGAGTTTAGGGTCTGTAGGGTTTAGGGTTTAGGGCTAGAGTTTAGGGTTTAGGGGGAAGTACATCTGTGGGCTCCTATATAGCTGCAAGTTTCTGTTTGCCACTCATGTGAGGGCCCTACAACGGGGTTTTGAGAGCTTTATAAGATTATGGTCCCCCTTTAGTATATAGAAGATGGGGTCTATGGGGATCTTATTAATATACCCAAAGACATAGTCTATCTACTCAAGGGGGACTATAGCTGCTAAATAAAAACCTCTTCCATGGAAACCTTCATGTATGGCTTGAGGACAGTTCTGTACTGAAAGTGCAGAGAGCGCGTGCTGAAGTAGATAGAGTATGGAGTATGTGCATCCGTTGGTGGTTCGGGGTTGAGGGGTAGGTCCAAAATTCCCTGTATGAGCCTATATAGATACTTAGGACCCTTTAGGCTTCATCACGCTTGGATTTTGGGGGGGGCTACTACACCCTAGGGGTCCAAGCACCCAAATAAGAGGGTTTTAGGGCCTAAATACCATTAATATTATGGTAGTTGGGCCCTAAAGCCCTATCATTTGGGTCCTTGGACCCTTAGGGACAGATAGTCCCTGCCCAAACCAGAAGAAAACGATCTTCCGTCCACAGCGGTCGTATGCCATGCCAGGAACCTACCTGAAAATTCGTCAAGCTTATTCAGGCCCCCTGGCTGTGGATAGCGTGGCTTGGGCAAGAACTCCACAAACGCAAGCTATAACTGCAGCTGCTGTCCTACCCTAAGGGTCCAAAGACCTAAATAATAGCGCTTTAGGGACCCCAATACTATAATATTAATGGTATTTGGGCCCTAAAACCCTATCATTTGGGTCCTTGGACCCTTAGGGCTACTAAAACCAAATCATGAATGAACTTCCAGGTGGCCTGGGGTAGGGCCGCCGACCGTCTCACCCGAGATGCCGAGACAGACTTTGACGGGGGATATTGAGCCTCCAAAGCTTGAACCCTAAACTAAACCAAACCCACGCCTTATTAAACCTTAAATCCTAAACCCTAGACCCTAAACGTTCAGGACCAAACCCTAAGCCCTAAACAGAACTACCCGAACCTTCCCGGCTGGAGGTCAGTTTGCCGTTGAAGCTTCAGGCTGCCTCACCTCAGCCCCCGGCCACTTGACAATCAAAGGGTTGGGGGGTGTAGGGGGCTTAGGGGTGTTGAAGGGATTCAGGGTTTAGGGTTGAGGGTGTAGGGGGTTTAGGGGTTGAAGGTTTTGAGGGTGTTTAGGGGGTTTAGAGGGTTTAGGGTTGTGGGGGTTTGGGGTTAAGCGGTTTGGGGTTTAGGCGATTTTGGGTGGAGGGGGTTTAGGGTGTTTGGGGTGGTTTAGGGTTTAGGGGCCTAGGGATTTGTAATTCTTCATGTAGCGCCATGATTGTCGCGAGGTAGGCAGACTCCCCCGAACCAACCTGGACGCCCCAACATTTTAGAACCCTAACCCCAATTACCCTGAACGTGGAGTGCCGAAAACCCTACGTACTCTGACCCTAAACCCTGTTTAAGGCTATAATGATCCCTGTGTACTATATCGAGTTTGAGGTTTGCAGGTATAGAGTTTAGGGTAACCCTTAACGTTACCAACCCTAAACCCTTAGAATGGCGTCTATGTTTCCTTCGCCACCCCTTGGAAGCACAGGTAAGAAATGGAGGTTCCTGTCAAGGCTACCGTTTTTCTCTAAAACAGGGCAGCTGCGGAGTTCCATGTTGGCTTGGGGGAGGGTGCACCTCGAATCGGGTTTAGGGTTTAAGGGTTTAGGGTTTAGGGTTTAAGGATTTAGGATGCAGGGTTTTTGAATGGAAGATTAAAGATGTGCTCAGGGTTTAGTGTCTAGGGTTTAGGCTTCAGGGTTTAGGGTGTAGTAGATTTGAGTTGAGCTAGGATGTAGAGCTTCGGGCTTAGCATCGGGGATTGGGGATACAGGGTTTAGGGTGTAGGGTTTGGGATCAAAGTTTGTTTACGTAGATACTGCTAAGGGACCTATAGGATGTCACTCCGTTGGATAGAATTGTCAGCCTACGCGGGCTATGTAAGCGGATATCATGCGAAATTATGGGGATGACCTTCTTGAGATGCATCTCCGAGATCGGGCCCGCGTATGCACGCATAGCCAAGCATTCAGGGATCTTTACAACCTAAATCCTAGACTTTAAGCCCTGCACACTCAATCCCACAACGCCTAAACCCCAAACCCCTTAATCCCTAAACCCCCTAAACTCTAAACACCCTAAATCCCTAAACCCCCTAAAACCCCTCCCAAACCCTAAACCCCCGAAACCCCTCAACTCTAAACCCATAACCCCCAAACCCTAAACCCTAAACCCCAAAACCCCTTACCCTAAGCCCTGAGCCCTGAGCCCTAACCCTAAACCCTCAAACCTTCAAATCCCAAAGTGCCTGAGCCCGAGGTGCGAAGGTCCCTCTGGCCATTTCGCCAAGGTCTTGCTTGCCTGTGCGCTGCAGGCCGGGGTTTAGGGTTTAGGATGAAGGGTTTAGGATTAAGGGTTTAGGGTTTAGGGTTGAGGGTTTAGGATTTAGGGTTTAGGGTTGGGGGTTCCGACAACCCGCAGCCTTGTCAGCCAGCCTCGGTAAGGACGAGTTCAAGCCGGAT